AGTTAGCCCCTTTTCATTAATTTCATACAGAATGCAGGCATTGCAAGAATGGGTACGGCTTCATTTACGACGTTTTCCAAGAATATATGACTGTTTGCCAGTTATATCTTGGGCAGTCAACAGGTTACCCTGCAACAAATCTCAAAGTATGCAAGAGGAAGGGAAACAGACTGATAAAAATAAAAGCATCAGCTCCAAAATAGCACAACCACCCTCAGCAGCTGCTTCTGCAGTGCTTTGGAGAACTCTCTGGACTTGTGACACTTGTGTAGTTTGGAAATTAAAGATGTTGATGACAATCAGTGAGTGTTAGAGGCTTTAACGTTACTGCCTTAAATACTCTACAAACATAACCCACCTGCTGGCTCACAAAGCATATGGTGACAACTCTCAAAAATTAACCAGAAAAGGAAAGCATTGTTTTTCCAGGAGTGAATTTGTCTGCCATCAGACGTATTCCGGAGCAAAAAGGTGGCTTTTCCTTGATCCATAATCATTCATATTTTCACAATGAAAGCTGAAATCACATCCACTGCTGCCAAGTCATCTGTATGCATGGTTCATGTTATTAACATTGTCACAGCACTATCAGTGGCAATTCTCTGGAACATTTTGTGAGTTTGGAGAAGATTCTAATGTGATGACATATCAGGCACCAACATACAGCATCATCGTTTGAAACTTTAAAGGAGTGTTTTTGTTAGAATCCACAGTTCTGTTTCCGAGTGCCATTTAGAAAAGTGTGACAGTACTACACCTTGCCTGAAGACAGCTTATTACAAATGCTTGTAGATATTGGTTAGAACCCATTGGGCAAGGCAAATCTAATTACAGAGATGCTGTAGGAAATGAATTTTATGACACAATTTCACATATAGACGTGGTCCATCACTGTAGAGTAAGCCTCTGATGAAAACTACTTCTCCAGTATAAAGCATCTACTCATCCAAAAAAGCTTACTGAATTCCAAAGCTTTAGATTACAACAGCCCAAATATTCCATAAATATTCCTTCCCACTGATTTCTACCAACAGATGTTTTGTGTGAGGACCTAGCTAGGCTCATCCAGCTGACAGTTACTGGAACTACAGTGCCACAGTTTTGTTTTACCTTGCAGACTTTAAATCCAGACACACTACAGCACTGTTAAATGAAGCTGCAGCAGGACAGCTTACCCCAAAAACAGCACCAGAATGGCTGAGGTATCTCACATCTCTAAGAGGACTGTAAGTGCATTTATAAAGAAAAAAAAATTCCAGGAATGCAGAATGTTAACTCCAGCACAGTTGTTCAGTGAGCACAGTTAGACAGTGGTGAGTAGGGAAAACTATGATTTTACCTGCAGGGGGCCATGGTGGACATTTGCAGAAGTTACTTGTAAGAAGTTTCATTTTTCAATCAATCGGAGAGAGAAGTACGTCTTGCTGCTGATGAGATGAGCCAGGACCTTGGCAGATATCATTAAAGCTCACTCAGACGTAAGGTGCTAGAAAAGCAAAATTTGCCATTAGTTGATATTTTCTGTAGCAATTTTCAACCAGAAAGTGACAGCTTTCTCCTAGTGCAACAGTAAGTCAGTCCTATGTGTTCTGTAAGGCCAGTATTCAACAAGCTGATCTGAAGTCTTTTATCAATTCAATTTAGCCATGAGCTTGGCCCTGAACTTCATTTCAGTGTCACAACTACTGGAAACTAATTGTGGCTTTCCACCTGGAAGCATTTATTTTTGCAGCAATCTCCCTGTACCTGTCTCATTAAGGATGCCAGCTGCACCCAGGTTGCTTCCACTTTGAAAGCTACAGCATATCTGTCTGGTTCTTTCCTAATGCAAGTGGCAGCTTGAAATCACCATGATAAATCCACAAAAGGGGACTGCCAGTTTTCTTGGGCACTTGGACATCATGCATTCCTCATGCATCTAAGACCTCTAATACCCTAAGACATGGAAAACATTACAGTACCAGGAACAAACCCTCAGCCAGTTCAGCGGATGGCTCTCTGCCATGCTATTCCCATGCTTGCATGGTGTATTAACATGCAAATCCAGAATATCACATATGTTAGCATCTCCTAAGAAGAATTTTCATTTCAGGATCTTAAGGTAACGAACAAATGGAATCCTGCAGTATCACTGTGGGGAAAACAATTGCATAGCACAAGTGATCACAGAAGACCATAACAGCAGCCTACCACTACCTGAGGGGGGCCTACAGGAGAGATGGGGAGGCACTCTTGATCAGGGAGTGTAGTGAGAGGACAAGGGGTAACAGCTATAAGCTGAAAGAGGGCAGATTTAGATTAGATATTAGGAAGAAATTTTTCACTGTGAGGGTTGTGAGGCAGTGGCACAGGTTGCCCAGAGAAGCTGTGGATGCCCCATCCCTGGAGGGGTTCAAGGCCAGGCTGGATGAGGCTTTGAGCAACCTGGGCTAGTGGGAGGTGTCCCTGCCCATGGCAGGAGGTTGGAACTCGATGATCTGTAAGGTCCCTTCCAACCTAAACCATTCCATGATTCTATAACACAAGTAAATGTGAAAGGAAGGAATGTGGCCAGAGAGAACAAAACCAGCTGTGGTAATTCTCCCTGTCCTCCTCAGCTTCAGCAGCAAAAATAGTGCAATCGGTGAATAATCTGTGACCTTTTGGCTCTGTGATGGCCCACTGCTTTGGTGAAGCAATCCCAATCTGTTTTTTTATACCTTGAGCTGCTACTCAACTCTCAAGCATCAAGCAGTGTAGATGGTACAAGTGCAAAGACTTCAGGGTCCATACATCTGTTACTCCTGTAACCACTGCAAAAGCACAGAGCTGGGTTAGCGGATGGAAGATTTGCCTTAGAGGAGAAATAGGTCAGATATCAGAAAGTAAAAACAGAGAAACAGATGCAGTCTTTCTTCCCCAGCAGACTAGTGCTTTGTATAAACATATCCTTAGCAATTTGAGGCACAGCTTCTTGAGAGCAATTCCCTGTTCCCAAAGACAACATTTCCCAGCAGTCTCAGGAGTGTAGCAACGTCTGTGACCATACAAGCCCATGACAAGGTGCAAGCCAAGCACACTGTAGTGAGAAGCAAGAAGTGGAGGGCCCAGCATAAACACTTTGCTTGGGACACACCTCCCAGGGTTTGTGACAAGAGGGTAATTTTCTGTGGGAATGCTCCATTTCTACATGCTGTTAATTAAATGCTGGAAGAAAGCACAGAAAAAGTGTTACATTTTCATGCAGTTAATCTATTTGCATGTACTCACTATGACTGCACTGTTTTTTTATCCAAGTAGATGGCCCCACAATGACTGTTCTCCTGTTTGTCTCACCTAAACCACTGTCCTCCTGTAAAAATTTTTGACTATACAGAAATCATCAACCACTAATTCCTACATAGTCCACAGAAATTTTTATCATCTGCAATGTTTGCATAGCATTAAGATGCAATAATTCCATTTCTAAACAAAGTGATCACAGGTATATACATATAAAAAAGTTTAGTAGTTATAAGAGATCAAAGTTTTCTACTTTTTAAAGTTAAAACCACTATACAACCTCAGAGATTATAACTGAGGATTTTATATTAAAGGTACATTAAAGGAAATTGTTTGAGATTGCAGGTGAAGAAAGGTGAGAACGTACAAGCCATCCTTCTCATGGTAGAAGGCTGCAAGCTTTTTAAAGAACTACTGGGAATCCTCAGTGAAAGATATGGGATAGCTCACATACCCTGAGTTTTCCAAGTAAGCAAAGGCAACAGCACAAGCCACTTCATCAAAGCTGACTTGTAACAGCTTGTTTTATCCAAGTAGGAGTCCATGCAGTGCATGCTTCTCCTTTTGCCTCACTCAATCCATACTCCTACTCTAAAAAGAGTTGAAAATAATAAATAGATTGTTTAGAGGAGTTAGATAGATTGTAGACAGTACAATTTCCAAAAATTTTAGTAGAGTCTGTTTATGTATTAGGCTACCTCTGACGGCAGCTCCTTTAAAGACAAAGTTATAACATACTGGCCTATTTAGTGAAAAAAGAGGGTAGCTAAAACATTTAAGGAGAAAGCAATGAGTTGTTCAACACTACACTGACAGCTCGCTCAAAAACAGCAGCAGGTGACCTTCTCCAAAGAACCCCAGTCAGGTAGCACCTGTGCTAGATGCAGAAGTCTGATATGTTATGCTGGTAATTCAGGAATGAATGGTGTTAAACTGGTGGGAGATGAGCAGAACTGCATCCTCTGGCCAGCTGAAGCAAAGAGGAACCTCAATATGGAAATAAAACAGTATTTAGAAGATTAGCACATTCCTTTCCTATCCAAGGACTTCAGCCTGTCCTACGTTGCTTGCAAAGGGCACGTAAGTTCTTCCTTCTACACACATCTTCCCATAGCAAGTCCCAAAACATATTATGCTCTATAGCCTGATGAACCCTTCAGCTGTAAAAGATGACTTCCATATAATTTCCCTAATGCTCCTCTGGAGTGTCTTTATAGCTATTGCTTTTTTTCAACAGGCTGCTTTAGCTTTCTTCTAAAAATCCTGTCAAACGCTAATGACAACAAATTGCCTGGTCCTCTCCTGCTGCTCCCAAAAAGCCTTTTGGAGTTCTAGTTCAGAGAGACCACATGTGTGGGCCTTGGAGGGGGAAAAGGGTTAGCAGGAGGCAATCAACTTGCTCTCTTGACACAGAAAACTACCCTCTGCTAGGGCTATAATTTATTAATGTGTCTTTCACTAACAGGTCTTATGGCACAAAGTTATATCCAGCTCTTCCCACAGCTATTCCCACCCATTGCACTTACTGACCAGAAAGCCTTCTAAATGTTATCTAGTAGCAAGATTGTATTTTGCAGGTCATGTTCCTTAGCTTCATCTTTCATTTCCTCTTATTCAACATTATCACACTATCTTCCCTCTTTCTTACGTGCTTTTCCTCTTCACAAAGCTCTTTAAACAGCTGCAAAGGGGGAGGGACCACTGCGCTCACGAAAACTCCACTTTGCAGAATGCTTCTGCCAGGTCCTACTGCCTGTCTCTTTCCAGGCATTTAATACCTCCAAGATTCAGGTTTGCTTTTACATCTCTCTCTTGTGCATCCCTGACGACAGTCTATTGCCAGCTGTCTTAATTGAAGATCAGTAATCCACCTTCTTCTCGTGATTGCCATGAGGAATACGTACATCCTCTCTCTCTTTGTAGTCGTCTCCTTTTATTTTAACGGTAAGTGATCTTTTCTTTCAGATACAGTTTGCAGAACAGGGATAGCTTTGGGGGCTAGGAGGTAGGTCTGTGATATAAGCTCTCAGACAATTTGTAATTGTCACATTAGTAGGTTGCAGACTTTAAGAAAATGCATGAAATTTATTATTTTAGTGTTGTTTCTGGCTTGTTCAGTATCAGCAAATCCACTACCATGGATATAGACAGACAGTAAGTTGGACTTAAAATGACAGACCAGTAGGAGATGACAATGATAATCACTAAATAATAACTCTTTAGATGCTCCCAGGATCATTTGTGATGGGAAAAGCAGGTATTGTACCAAGAGTGAAAAAAATAAAAAATGAACCATAAATAAAACAGATCTCATTCCTCTACAATCCAAGTTCAGATATATTGCGAAGTTTATGCTTCCTAATTGTTTGAGTAGTATGTAAATAGTTTAAATTAAGTTTAAATATATAAATATATGCTAAAAAGAAACCAAACGTACATCAAGAACATTTTCTTTAGTCTGCCAGAATTTCTTGTGTATGTTTTAGCCAACAGGCACAGCCTGACAGCAGCATGAAATAGTGCATTTACCGCGGGAGCTTCTCCCCGTGGAGAGACTGCACTGAATTATTCAGAGTGAAACTGTCTGAAATTGAATTGAGACAAAAATCACATCTTACCCATAATTACCTATCCATCCCACAGTCGTTCTGTTTCTTCAGCCACTGAAAGGCAACTTCAGAAAACGTCTGCTTTATAACAAATGAAGAGGGCCTAATTTAGAATCTTAGAATACACACTCCTAAACCCATTGGTATTTCCTCTTTATTTGCATTAATTGCAGTGTAGAAATTAAAATAGGCTTTAAAATACAGTAAATTCACCATTACTTCCATTGGAACTATAAGCGTTCCAAATGAGCGTGCGTTGTTCTAAAATATAATCTTTTTACTCAAGAGTCAGCTGAAAAGTAACAACATCACAAAGTCATTTCAGAGAAGATAATGGGATTGTCTTATTGCTGTTTCTTGCTTGCTCTTTACTAATTACAGATGGGAATTTGGTATGTCACCAGGGTCCTCATAAGTTACCTGTGAGAGAGAGGAAAGAACAAAAATGACAATATATACTACAATATATTATTTCTAAACAAATGCTATTTCAACATTTATTAAAATAACTGAAGTCAGGGAAATGAAGCAAACATGCCTTATGTTAAATTTTGCAGTTTCGACAGTGATAACAGTGCACTTGCCTGTATTTGGCAACATTGTTCTTTATTCTGCTCTGTGGAAATCACTCCAACATATTTGTCATTACACTGAAAATAAAGAACATAACACAGGATAACCAGTTATTCCATTTTCTATATTTAAATTAGACCACGTAAAAAGGAAAATTTGCACAGGGGAGTGAATGAAGTCTGTGGTTTTTTTTTCTTTTGCTGTGAAATTGGAAGCATCCTGGTGCAATTTTTTTTTAAATGGTCATACTCCTGCAGAGAAAACAAACTTACTGCAGAAAGTGTGCTGCAAGTTATGTGGCAATTTGCTCTCGTCATGGAGCAGATGTGTAGTGTGTTCAGTGAAGCTAAAACAATTTCCCTAGCTCAGGATCCACCCCAATATGCTTTCTCTATTACTGCTTCCAGTACACACAAAAAAAATACTCCACCCCCAAATTAGGGGGTTGATGATTCTTGTTAAAATAATTTGTCTAAAAGCATCAGTCTACTCTCTGGAACATTCCTGGTGATTATTGCTATTTGGAAAAAAACAGTTTGCGAGGGAAGCTGTGCACTTTCATTTCTTCCCACTCCAAGAGGAAAAAGAGGGTTTCAAATGCGTGGCTACAACATCACGAAATGCATAAAAAGATTAACTTGAATGCCTGGAAATTTTATTCTCATTAGGTACTATCTGGTTAAAATGTAGATTGGTAACAGAAAATAGACTATAGGAATATAAATTATACAAGAACCACTAATTTTTACACATTATTTATAGAGATCGACTTTAGCAACCTTTAAGCAGTGCACCGCTGACATCTAGTGGTAATTGATCCAGGCATCTGAGTGAGACAAGAGAACAGCCCCTTCGATCTTTATTTCTGATTATTAAGTTATTTAAAGGCTGGGATAGGACAGCAATTTGATAAACAATTATTCAATACAGGAACCTCTTCCCTCTGAACAGATAATAATTTCTTAAAGGGAGTCATTATTTAACAGATCATTTTTTATAATTAAGTCGTGGCCTGTCATTCATCTGCATAAAGTTCATTGACAGAGTCAGTACTTTGAATCTGAGCTGTTCTCATCAGACGTGCAGACCCCGCGGAATGTTCCGATTTGCAAACCAGACGGCTATGATTGCTAAAATCAGGTCTCAGAGAACAGGATTATTACAAATTCAGAATTATCTTTCTGCAAATATTCTGCAGTTTCTATTTCTTACTAACTGTTTAGCAAATATTCCATATGCTAGAATATTTACAGAAAAAGATGGCAACACAGTGCAAACATATTCAACAATTCAAACAAGAATTCACTGTCTTTGCTAGCAGCACTCAGTGACCCCTGTATGAAACAAACTAAATGACAATTCATATACATTTGAATTATAGCCATCTGCTTCTGTCACTTACATATGCAGCAGCAGAATGTTTGTTAAAAAAACCAACCAAACAAACAAACCCCACCACAATAAAATAACTTTAACCAAGATTCTCTCTAGCTACCACAAAGCTTCTCACCTATCCTTATAAACACAGACCAATTCATTCCAGGAGTGTGGCCCCATTTTCTTCACAGTATCAAATTAATCTCTGTCTTGATTGCAATACACAAGAAAAAACAGAATCCAGAGCTCAGCAAGGATCAGCATAGCTCTAGCTTGGTAAGTCTTTGATTAGGCAGGCTTACATTGAGAACAAATGTAATATTAAAATATCATATGATACCAGGGCTTTTATAATGGCTTGCAGGGAGGTACAAAGCAAGTGTGAATCAAAAAACAAACTGACCCAAAAAACACAGATGTATTCATCCAAATTTGTTTTCCCAAATGGCTTGGGAAGTATTTGAGAAACCTATTCTGAAGAACAATGTTATGGTTAAGTATATGTGTCAAAACTGTGCTACCAATAGCATATGCTGGTCTTGAAAGAATTAAAACAAGCCCGGTGTTTATCTCAATCTTCTCCCAGAGTTTGAGTCAAAGCTGTTCTTAGATGTGAAAAATCTGTTCCAGGATGTTTCCTTTTATGCCTCTCCACCTTCTTACTGGAGCAGAAACAGGAAGTCCTTATAGTATTTTTTTAATCCGAGTGGAATTCAGAAGTACCAAGTTTCAAGAGAGCCTTGTTCCCCCTAGCAACTTACAGCCCAGTTCACATGGAAACTAGGCACCTTCTAGAAATGCACACAAACTTTGCCTGCTTATGTGATCCTGGCGTTTTGATGTTTGCCTTTCTCTGGATCTCACAGATGTGCTAAAACAAAAAACCATAACAAATTAATGTTCCACAAATTGAAAATGCTTGCACGGCCAGTGGTTTTTACTGTGTGGAACGGCTCTGGGGAATAATGAAGCAAGTATGCTGTAAGGACACTATCCTCACTTCTGCAATATCTAGGGTTGAGTTAGGTGTCCTTTCCTACAGAACAGTCATTCTATTAATTGGACTAGAATCTATTTTCATTAACACCTGTGTCCATCACTGTCAGCTGAATAACACAACACAGAATTACTTGACATGCAGCAGAATCTCTCTGGGTCAAATCTGTTGGACGCCACCAGGACGTTAGCCATCAGTATTATTACATGTCAATAGTGGTCTGAAAACTCCACTAGAATGGCTTTAAAAAGCACATGCAAGAACACGGGAAAAGATGCAGTTACCTCTGGGGTTGTGCCATAAGCTATTCTGCTCCATGGAGAATGTTTAGGCTTGTTTGATAGCATCCTGCAGATACTGTATTTCAGAGTCACTGAACTCCAGCTTTGGTCAGCTAAGATTTACTGTATTTGTGCTAGTCCATAAATCAAGTTCTGTTTCCACATAAAACAAGCCTTACATACTGCCTCAGCTTTTAAATAAAATAATTCTGAAACATATCACTAGCTACCAAAGAGCTCCCAATCATCAAAAAAACCCTTATGACTCCTGCAGCTCATCCCCTAGTTTCCTCTACACAGATCAGAGTCTTTCAACTCGTATGTGTGCCTGCAACTCTGACTCCTACGACCTTAAAGAGAGAAGTCACAGCTGGACTCCCTGCATTTGGATCATTGAAATGTTCTTCCTCCATTATTAAAAGGGTGGTTTGCTCCCAGTTTCTATTTCTGAATGTACTCCCAAAAGTATCTATCAATTTGAGCATCAAACTTTACTACATAAAACCCAAAGTGTTCCGATTTACCTGCTTTGAGCTACACTCTGTGACAGTCAACTTCAGCAGAACAGACCTTGGTGAAAGCACCATATCCTGTTCACACAAGCCTACAGTCTATAGAAAAGCAAAAGCCCTCATCATTTCATGAAGACAACCTGATGCACAGAAATTCTGTGATCCCTACATCATGTCATTTGGTCTCCCTCCTATGAGCCTGTTACGTGATGTTTTACAGGAAGCACCGCAGCCGATGCTGAAGAAAAGCTAATGAACCACCTACTGAGTCCTGACAGGTACAATAAGTTAATTCGACCAGCTGTCAACTCGTCCCAGTTAGTATCTATAGAACTGCATGTTTCCCTGGCACAGCTCATCAGTGTGGTAAGTTCAAATCAGGCCATCCTTTTTAATTTGTTACTACCTGCACAGCACTTGAAGTAAAACTCGTATTGGTATTACTATGTCCCTGTACTTTCTCGTTTATGTAATAATAGTTAGTAGGCGGGGCCCATTCATGCGATTTACGGGTTTTATACTTCAGAATGCAGCTACACCAGGGAGATCATGACATATCAGGCATATCAGCAAAGAATAGTGAAATGTTGTCAAGAAAAAGTCACGCTAGTTCTGGCTGGAATAGCTTAATATGGTTAAACAATCCTCATATAAGCAACTCCTCATATTCAATAAAAATTACCTCAATGGGTCTGAAAGACAAGGTTAGCATGTGCTTAACAGTTCTTCCAAATACAAACACACAGTTTCAAAAGAGGTTTAGCGTTAACTGCAGTGGGAACAAGATCCAGCAAATAAGTGGGAATTATTTCCTGAATCAGGGCTTTCAACTCTGCTGCTCTCTCCCCAGACGAAAAAGAGGTTACAGATGACTGCCTCCCCCCCCCCAGAATTTGTGTCTGGGCCACTGACTGAACTGCTGCAAACTTTAAGAGACCTATATAATTTATATCCTGAAATTCAAGAGGAAAAGAGAGTGACACTGGTGAAACAGAAATAAGGGGAACTGTACAAACAGATCAGCTTTCATACACACGTGCAGGCCGATTTATACAGGATATGCTGTACATATATCATACGAAGTCAGGGAGAATCATCTCTGCAGGGCAGTGGTAATTGTCCCCAAACAGCCACACGTACTCCAGTCACAACTGTCCTTGCTAAAAGCTGTTTGGAGCTCTGCACTTGTGGGGTTACTCTTTATCATCAGTATGTGCACAAGACTGGCCATCTTGCCAGCAGACATGAAATCATTCTGTGCAGTTGAAAATATCCTCAAAAGCCTATGGAATAAATCTTACTACTGCAATAAAGTGAAACATTTTGGAGAACAACTTCTCCCTCTATTTTTCCCTGCAGAATGAACGGGAGCAGATCATGATTACAAACGTCTGGCTGAACCAGGTAACCAAACCTGCAGAGACATGCTCTTGCAAACCACAAATACAACTGCTTTCACTGCACCATGGTGATTGTTTTGTTAGTGCTCGTCTAGATACTTCCATCACTAGCATATAATTCTTCTCTTAGGAGTGGATTGATTATCGTTTGGCTTGGAAGCCCTCTGACTATGACGGAATAAATAAGCTGAGAATACCTGTAAAACACATCTGGTTGCCAGACGTTGTGCTTTACAATAAGTAAGTAAAACTTCTGTTTTTGCAGACAGTGAAGAAAATTTTAACCATGTATCAAGAAACAAGCATCAGAACCAATTAAGTAGGTCTGATAAAAGTCTAAAACTGAATTTTGTAATTTTTAGCCAGTGTCAAGTGTATCTGACTGGGGTACTGGCCTCAAAGATAATTTTAGTAAAAACAGGGTTTTGGCTAAAGAAATTCCAGCAGATCTGGGGAATGTCAGCAGTATGAGCTGTTACACAACTCGAGGATCTGTGACAAGGCTCACAACTGAGGTTCAGATCTATGTCAAACTAGACTATATGGAAAGCATGAGTTGCAAGCACAAGAGTAGCTGTATGCTGGTCATGTTTGTAAGAAGACAAGACATCTGGAATTCTTTCGGACATCTTAGGTTCCAAGCTACATATTTGTCTCCTACTTCTTCCCCCTCTTCCACCACAGATTCTAAGACGCAAATCTGTTACAAAGTTCCCATGTACCAGAACTCCATGAGTCATTATTCATTTACACAAACAAATTTTCTTCTATTTTAATAAAGGATTTTAAAAAAACAATTATAAGAATACATAATAAATTTAGCAATATCAGAACCCATTGCTTTACAGTACTGAGAAACATAAAAGCTTGGTGCTAGAGCATACTTTGGTTCTTCTTTCCAGCTAACAGCTAACTGCCAATTTTGTTTTAAGTGTAGCAAAGCCTTGAAGTGGATGATATTAAAAAAAATCAAAACTTACAATATACTTTCATGATACTTCGAAAACCAATGAATTCATGAACACATAATGCTTTATACACATATACAGACAGCAAACCTAAGAAGTTTACATGTAACTAAGCCCATGGAATCCTACTACTGGAAATCAGATTTGAGAAATACTTAAAACTATTGTATTAGTCACAAAATAATTCAGATGGTGGATTAGGATGTACTCTGACTGGTCAAATCTTGTCCCGCCCTCTGCTTCTTTCTTCCTTATTCCCCAAACGACACAATTTAATGGACTGTTAGAATGGAAAAAAACAGTTGTAAAAGGCTTCTTAAATGTACAGGAACAAGCTTTTAGCCTCACCATATTGGATTTTTACATTAGCACAAAGCTTCAAATTAAAATTTTAGATAAAGGACAACCTCCTGAGCTTTTTGTTGCTGAAGCAGTGTTTCACGGGCATCAGTCAGTTCAAGAAGGTGCTAAGGAAAACACAAATAGCATCCCCAGGCCCCACAGCTCTGTCAGCAGCGGGTGCACAGGGCTGCAGAGGGCACTCGGGTGGCACCAGCAGCCCAGCCTCTGGCCCACCGCTGAGCCAGAAGAACTTACATATTCTCTGCCCAGGAGTCTACCCAGTGCGTTGAATGGGTTAATGGTAAACCTAACTCAGCAAGATACAGACATGTGAGAAATAAAGCACAATTTCTTGACTAAAAAATAGCCATTGGCAATGAACTAATGACCCCTGTATGTTGTAGCCACTCACTTCTGCGTCTGGTTGTTTCACTGCCTACATGAATTAGCTACAAGGGCCCCAGCTCAGCGCCAGGCGTGAGGATTTGCAACATGAGACCTTTCCAGAGCCAAATGCAACCGATCTGCAGAGCAGCTACACATAAGCCAAACCTTGGGTACTTGTAGCACTTCCCTGCTTATTAAAAAAAATACTCAACTTTTGCACTGCAATAGCTCTATTTTCCATTATGTCTTGTCAACAAACAAGAGATTCATTAGACTTTTTATTAACTTTAAGGAGCAAGTTTCCCCTCAAGTGAAAGGGTGCTACTTAACCACAGTCAGTTGAACTTCATTTGTTTACGCTTGCAGTAAGTTTGGTCTTCTATTTTTGCAGATAACATACTGTCTTTAGGTTATGTGCATTTTTTTACATATGTATTTGTTTAACAAGAGGAAAGCACATGGGATGTAACTACTCCAGACTCTTTTTTGCTGTCTAACAAAGTGGCTAACCCAGTTTTTAATAAAAGAGATTGATCAACATAGAAATAAATCTTTGAGTTTCCTGATCTGCCAAGAAAGAGTCACTAACAGTTGCTCCTTCCCATTGTTACACTTTGGTAGCCTGATTGTCTGACTTTGAAAGATGTTACATAGCACACTTGAGAAGATGCAGTGAATATGCTGAGAAACACTAAATTTCAAGAATATCTATCAGCAATTGACCACTTCACATTTCTATCTCAGGATACTTCATAGGTTAAACAGCAGTAAGTTGTTTGCCCAGAAACACTGGACAGGAGAAGATACTGACCACTGACTGATGATGATCTTCTCCCTGAATCAGAGGGCCCATCACAACATAGAAGGCTCTCCTGGTGGAAGCTGAGCAGTTGGAAGAGATACAAAGCCAAGATTATTTGTGGGCACTAAGAACACTGTCGCTTATCTGTTCTGGTTTTGTAACAGTAAACATTAACTGGAGTGAGGTGACAAATTATAAACCATATAATTACATTTCCTCTGCCTACGCTCTCCCTGCCTTTCTAACTAACACTGCTCATCATTTAGGAGTGCTGTTGTGTGCTCTTAGCAGTGGCAGTGTTCCAGATCAAAGGTACCTCAATTTTCATGCTGGATGATCTCATTTCTACTCAGCGTTCATAGATGAAGTGAGCCTTAATTACTCTAACAAATATTTACTAAATACTTTCAGTTCATTGGATGAAACAGAGATGTATATTTGTTATTTAATAATAATTTTATAAAATACTTTTTGTAAGTATTAGACCAAATATAAATTATCTGATTGGGAGAAAAGCATACATTAATATCCCTATCAAGTTATAGCTCCCTACAACATAGATTTCAAAATCAAAATATTACTAAACTTTGATTCTAGAAGCAACTGAGGCCCAGAAGACCAAGAATGCCAGAGCTCCTCTGTTTTGAACTATGTTTTTTCTCTTAATTTTTTATTCTCTTCTCTCCTCTTTCTTTCCTCTTGTTTCATTAGTGCGGATGGCACATACGAAGTTTCGCTATACACAAACGCAGTTGTAAAGAACAACGGAAGCATTCGCTGGTTGCCACCAGCCATTTACAAGAGTGCCTGCAAGATTGAAGTTAAGCATTTCCCATTTGATCAACAGAACTGCACATTAAAGTTCCGGTCTTGGACATATGATCATACAGAAATTGATATGGTTCTTAAAACTCCCATGGGAAGCATGGATGACTTTACGCCAAGTGGAGAGTGGGACATTGTAGCACTCCCAGGAAGAAGGACTGTAAATCCTTTGGACCCCAGTTATGTTGATGTGACATATGACTTCATTATTAAAAGGAAACCTCTTTTTTATACCATCAATCTTATCATTCCCTGTGTGCTAATTACATCCTTAGCCATCCTGGTATTCTACTTGCCTTCAGACTGTGGTGAAAAAATGACCTTATGCATATCTGTGTTGCTTGCCTTGACTGTGTTCCTCCTCCTGATCTCCAAAATCGTCCCTCCAACATCTCTAGATGTTCCACTGATTGGGAAGTATCTCATGTTTACAATGGTACTAGTGACCTTCTCAATAGTTACCAGTGTCTGTGTACTCAATGTCCACCACAGATCTCCAAGTACTCACACTATGCCCCCTTGGGTAAAGCTGGTTTTCCTTGAAAGACTCCCATCCTATCTGTTCATGAAGCGTCCAGAAAATAATTCTCCACGGCAAAAGCTGTGCAAGTGCAAAAAGACAAAATCAGAGAATCCTTGTATGGAGACAGCCGACTTCTACAAGAACTCTACCTATTTTTTGAATACAGCCTCTGCCAAAAAATATGACATGAAAATCACTGAGACTCTTGACAATGTCAGCAGTCATCGAGATTTTAGGTTAAGAACAGGCATGAAATTTTCTCCTGAAGTCCAAGAAGCAATTGATGGAGTCACTTTTATAGCAAGGCACATGAAAAGTGATGACGACGACCAGAGTGTAAGTAAAAATGAGAAATCATCCCAGTCTTTCCAAACTTCATCTCCTGTCCCCCTCTGTAATACACTGTTCTTCAGAAAGCATATTTGAACTCCCTAGCCAATCTAAAGTTGTTAGAGAGATTCTAGCTGTAGTTTATAAGAGGAAATAATTTTTGCCATTAAAAGAACTTAATGAATAGCAATTTGGTAAACACTGTTACTCTCCTGAAAAGTAACATGGCTGTTTCTACAAAGAGAGAATGTTGATTGCCCAGTAAGTCATTAAACATCCTTGAAAAAACTCTGTGTCAAATTCAAGTAGTATTTGGCAGGGCAGAAAAAAAATAAATCAGTTCCAGGTCAGAAAAAGAATATTTTTCCCCACTGTATTCATTAAGACTGGGACTCAACCCATGGCCATGTTAACCAGAATCAAACTACCTGCAGCTCAAGCATTTATTTACCTAATTGGGCACACAAGGAGGAATTATTAAAATTGGTAAAATGCCTTTGCAAACACCCTCTCCAGGATAAGATATCTGTCCTTATATGGCAAACACAACAGATAGGATCGAAATCCTAATATCAGCAGAGTTGAGACTTCTTTTCATGTGTGCTAAATCAGACTCCTTACTGGCTATAGGAAGCACCTTATCCAGGGTGCGTTTAAGCAGTGCTGCTGCTGCCTTATTCACTCAAGATGGTTCAGAGTTTTGTTTAGAGAAGCACCTATGGTTAGGAAAAATAATCCTCATTCCTACCAGTGTCCTCTCTCTGACCCAGATTCCACTCAGACTCCAGGTTTTCTATTCCTGC